AAACCCTAAACCCTAAACCCTAAACCCTAAACCCAAAACCCAAAACCCTTAAACCCTAAACCCTAAAACCCTAAACCCTAAACCCTAAACCCTAAGACCCTAAACCCTAAACCCCTAAACCCCTAAACATGTAAACCCTAAATCCTAACCCCTAAACCCTAAACCTTAAACCCTAAACCCTGAACCCTAAACCCTCAACCCTCAACCCTGAACCCTGAACCCTGAACCCTGAACCCTAAACCCTAAACCCTAAAACCCTAGACCCTAAACCCTAAACCCTAAACCCTAACCCCTAAACCGTAACCCCTAAAACCCCTAACCCCTAAACCCTAACCCTAATCCCTAAACTCTAAACCCTAAATCCTAAAACCCTAAACCCTAAACCCTAAACCCTAACCCCTTAACCCCTAAACCCTTAACCCCTAAACCCTAACCCCTAAGCCCCTAACCCCTAAACCCTAACCCTAAACCCTAAACCCTAAACCCTAAACCCTAAAACCCCTAAAACCCCTAACCCCTAACCCCTAACCCCTAAACCCTAAACCCTAAACCCTAAACCCAAAAACCCTTAACCCAAACCCTAAACCCTAAACCGTAAACCCTAAACCCTAAACCCTAAACCCTAAAACCCTAAACCCTAAACCCTAAACCCTAACCCCTATAACCTAAACCCTAAACCCTAAGCCCTAAAACCCTAAACCCTAAACCCTAAACCCTAAACCCCTAAACCCTAAACCCTAAACCCTAGACCCTAAACCCTAAACCGTAAAACCTAAACCGTAAAACCTAAACCCTAAAACCTAAACCGTAAAACCTAAACCCTAAAACCTAAACCCTAAAACCCTAACCCTAAAACCCTAAAACCTAAACCCTAAAACCTAAACCCTAAACCCAACCCCTAAACCCTAAAACCCGAAACCCCTGAACCCCTAAACCCTAAACCCCAAACCCTAAACCCTAAACCCTAAACCCCTAAACCCTAAACCCCTAAGACCCTAAACCCTAAACCCTAAACCCTAAAACCCTAAAACCCTAAACCCTAAACCCTAAACCCTAAACCCGTAAACCCTAAACCCTAACCCCTAAACCCTAAACCCCTAAACCCTAAACCCTAAACCCTAAACCCCGAAGTCCCTAAACCCGTAAGCGCTACACCCTAAACCCTTCACCCTAAACGCCACACCCTAAACCCTAAGACCCTAAGCCTCTAGACCCCTAGATCATAAACCCCTTAACCCTAATCCTAAATCGAATCGATCAATCAATCAATCAATTTAATCAATCAATCAATCAATCAATCAATCAATCAATCAATCAATCAATCAATCAATTTATTAATCAATCAATAAGTCAATCAGTCAATCAATCTATCAATCAATCAATCAATGAAGCAATGAAATAAATATTTAAAATCACGACGTCTAACTCGGTAACGAAACACCGAATATGCTTCGGGATACAACGTTGTGAAATGAGTAAGTTAATACTGAAAATCTCAAATTAAAATTTATTAACGAAACACCGAATGTACTTGGGGATTTGACATAAAACAAATTGCTAAGTAAATACTTAAATCCTATACCTGATTTTAGTAACAAAATACTTAATATACTGCAGGATGTAAAGTAATGAAATAACTAAATAAATATCGAAAGTGCCGGACTTTGATTTAGTAACGAAATACCATATATACTTCGAGATATAAAGTGTACATTTGGCAATAAAACACCGAATACATTTCAAGATATAACGTCATGAAATGATTAAGTTGATGCCGAAAATACAGAAGTATAATTCAACAATGAAACACGAATATATTTAAGGTTATAACGTTGTGAAATAACTAAGTGAATGTTGAAAATCCCGGAGTGTAATTCGGTAACGAATCAGCAAATATACTTTGAGACAGGGTCACCAGCCCGTACGTACGAACCTCCCTAGGCCGACCTCCGTACTTACGGGTGTTCGGGGTCCCGTTCGGGGTCCGAACCTGAAGGTGTTCTGCCTCCGCCAAAAAATATTTTTGGGTCTAAAAATTATTTTTTTTCTGAACATTTTTTGTTTGTTCTCTATGATGTGAGGTCCATGCCTGTAAATTTTGATGTCATTTGGCTTAGCCAAATAAGAATTCAAAATTTTCAAAGATGGCGGTGTCAAAACGTGCTCGCCTACTTTTGTTTTCACTTTTTACTTTTTGTTTTCACTTTAGTTGGGGGTCTAAACAATTTTATTATTTTTTTATTTTTTTTTAGTGGGTTTTGTATTATGTGAATTCCACACCTGTAATTGTTAGGACATTAAGCTATGCTAAAAAAATACTCATCAAAGATGACGGTGTCGAAAACATGCTCGCGCATTGATTAAATTTAATTCTCTTTTTATTTTTTATTTTTTTATTATTAGTATTTGCTCTTCGTATTTTATTTTTATTTCAAATTTGGTAAGAAATTTGGATGTAATGCTAAGATAAATGTTCTTTATTTTAATTTTTTTCATATTATATCTTGTTTTTCGGATTTTTTTGATTTTTTTGTTTTTCACTTTCGGCCCAAACGACAGAACGCATCCCCAATGTTGAAAATACAGACCGAATATACTTCAGGATATAATGTGGTGAAATTACTAAGTAGATACTTAAAATCCGAACGTGTAATTAGGTTATGAAACATCAAATACGCTTCAGGACGTAATGCAACTAAACAACTAAGTAAATGTTAAAAATAGTGAAGTTTATTTTATTAACAAAACACCGAATGTACTTCGAGTTTTAATATTGTGAAATGACTAAGGAAATGTCAGAAATCCATAATTATAATCCGATAATGAAACTTGTGTAGCATCGTGTATGGATTTAGTGACCGAACGCGAACGAGCGTCGAAACTCTCCAAACGTGAACATAAAAATATTAAAAAAAAAAAAAAAATTCCGAAAAATCAAGAAACAATATATGTTATATGAAACAATAATAGAAACATTTTTTGGCAGGGAGGTATGCTCAAATTCGTAACCAAACTCGAGCTAAGAAATCAAAAACCATTTTTTTAATTTTTTTATTATTATTTTTTAAACATGTTTGGTTGAACACGTTCGGGAGGTGTTCGGCCGAACACCCGAATATGTTCGGACGTTTGGGAAAGCTTCAAACATATGCGGTGTGCTACATAGGAATACACTTTGGGATATAACGTCGTAAAATAACGAAGTAAATACTGAAAATTCTGAAATATCGTTTGAAAACAAAACACAAATATACTTTCGGATAGGGTTGTCATTGTCCGGGACGGGCCAAACGCCCGAAGCCGAACGTCCGAATGTTCGGGACCCCTCTTGACGTGTTCGACTGTTCAGACGAGAGTGGAAAAAAACAAAAAAACAAAAAAACAAAAACAAATTTCAAAACATATGTCATGCAGAAGAATAAACTAAACAACATTTGCCTCAACGTTACATTCAAATTATTTACCAAATTTAAAATAAAAATTAAATAAAAAAATTAAATAATAATAATAAAATTAAAAAAAAATAAAACGAGAATGAAATTATTGAGTAGGCAAGTGTATTTTTAACACTTCCATCTTTGGCGATTTTTTTTTTTTAATTTGACAAATGCAATGAAAATTTATATATGTATATCTTACATAATAGAGAACCAACAATCATGTTTTGAAAAAATAATTTTTTTTTTCGTGCCCTTAAACCACCAGTACCTTCCCCAGTGTCGGAAAAATACGAGATGCAGGCCAGTACCCGAAGTTTTCGGGGGTCGGACAGAGGGTTGGCAATGTCCCAAAAGTCGTTTTTTTTTTTTTGCCCGTGCACGAAAGGGAAAGGAAAAAAAACGGGCCTTTGTACTGCAATGATGCCGTGCAGGGATGTCTAGGAGACCGTGCTCACAGTTTTGCATGCATCTTACAGCAAAGACGGTCACGTTCTCAAACTTGTTGTTTTCTTTTTTTCTTTTGTATTTGTTTGTTATGAGTACCCTGCCAACGAGGCAGGGCGGAATCTGTGATCTGCTGTAGTATTATTTCCTCAGATGATTGTAACATTGATGTAACCGACCGTTTTCAAGGCCGAATCCATGTTTTCGGTTTTTTTTTCTTGTTTTCATTTTCTGGACTCTGACAATCTGAATCCGTGATCTGCTCGAGTTGTGTTCCCTTAGCGGATTGTAACCCTGATCACATTGGCACTTACGAGGATGTATCTTGCCATTTTCACGGTCGAATCCATGTTTCTGTCTTTTTTGTTTTTTTTTTAGTTTATGAAATCTGACAACCTGGCCACGGGGCTCCTATCGCCAGAATGCGTGCGCTATTTTGACGAAATTTGACAACCGGTCGGGTCCTGACGCCAGATCTGCACGAATTTTTTTTGAGTTTCTGAAATCTGACAACCGGTCGGGTCCTATCGCCAGAATGCGTGCGCTATTTTGACGGAATTTTCAAAGCGCCACCTGCGCTCGGAGTTGTGTCTGTTTCTTGTCTCTTTGTCTACATCTTTCATGTCGTGTGTGTCTTGTCTATGTCTTGACTCTACGGTGTGTTGCAGTGCGACTTAGCACTTGATTCTCGTAACTACATGCAAGCACACAATAACCTGCGTAGCAATAGTACTACGATCGTGTGACTGTGCTCGACTGAACATTAGTAGCTGTTGTTATTTAACTGCCTTCTCTTTCTTCATCATCATCTTCAATCCGTTTCTTATCCATTCTCTTTTATCTCTTCTACTACTACTTCCCTCCTCGGTATGTATTTTTATCCTCCCAGAGGTCCGTGTCATTACTGTCACCAATATGGGCATTGGATTCGAGATTGTCAGTTTCGTATCAATAACGAAGCCAATGGATATGGAGGTAACAATGGTAGTTACGGGGGTAATGGTGCTTCAACATCCTCTGCGAATGGTGCTCTGATTTTGACGACGCCGAACGTAATGGCTCCAAACAGCGGTCAGCAAGAGCAGCAACACGGTGCTATTCAACAGCAGACGAATACATTTCAGCAACAGCAGAGGAGACCGTGGCAGAGAGGGTATCGAGAACAGGAAGGCTATCGTGAACAAGGGAACTCCCGAGGGAGAGCTGACCGTTTTGAACGTATGTGGGGATTTGTTAGTAAGGAGATGGAAGAGAATGAGCGTTTGGTGAAGGAGAGAGAGAAGAAAAGGAAGGAGGAGGAGGAGAATAAGAGGCAACAGGAGCAGGATGAAAAGAGACGTAAAGAGCAACAAGAGAAGGAGGATTTCCAAGTGAATTTGGGAAAATTGATAAAAGGGTCTACGGCAGAGGTGTGCGAGTCGATATTGGGCAAGAAAGTTGCCCCCACGGAGAGTGTTTGCGCCGAAATTCATATCGAGCTTCGAAGGCAGGCGATAGCCGCTGGGAAGAAACCAGTGCAAGAAGATAAACAAGAATCTGAGACGGAAAGATTGAGAAGAGAAAACGAGGAGATGAAGGTAGCTATGCGGATGAGTTTAGCTGATAAGGAGATCGATTCTCTTAAACAAGAGAACATCGTACTCTCGAGAGATATTATTGAACTAAGAGGAGATATAAGTGCCTTGAAGAAAGCAGGTGAGAAGAGAAGTTCGGGAGACGTGATGGAGAAGAGTCCGCCGGCTGAACCGGCGCGAGCTAAAGTGAGGGTTGCTGACCAAGATCTTACTCCAGGGGACATCGCTAAGTTGGCAGATGCCTACTAAAGAATGCGAGACGACAAGGACTATGTTGAACGGGAAGTGGCTGCTCTTAAGGAACGGATGAACCGTTTGAAAATTCGGACATCACCGCCAGTCGTCAGAAGAAGGTTCGCGCTAAGAAGTGTGCAACCGACTAACCTACGGAAGAAGATGGTGCAACTGGCCGGAGAGACGGAAGAAGATGCTGAGGCGGAGAGCAGTGGTCCTAAGGTGAGATTTGAAAAGTGGGCAGATGAGACCAGATCGTCGTTCACGAAGAGGGTGGTTCAGGAACTCAGCCAAGTTACGGAAGAGTGAAATAGAGAAGCAGTGCTTGGAAGAGGGACTCTCATATACTACTATACGAGAAGGAGCCTGAGGATAACGACGACCAATCAATTGATGTGGCTGGGGGGGAACCCAGCGATCGTCCGGAAGAGAACTCCGATTGCTAGGAAAACCCTCCGAGTGCTGGTGGTTTTCGTAATGATTCGTATTGTGGAGAATTGGCTCTGACGTGCCGTGATATGAGGAAGGATGGTTCGTTTTGGAGGAAAGGTAAGCATGGTATTATCTTTAGATTAGTTGTCCTACTATTGATCGTCAACTTTCAGATTCCTTGGTTAGTCAAGTTTATTCCATTCATTTCCTCTCTTCTCGATGGTGGTTATGATGTTATTCAGTTTCTGGTCCCGTTATTTATGCTGTGGTTTCTCCGTGGTGTAGACACGTCTACGTTGGGTGCACCGCCGAAAGTTTGGATGTTAGAAGGAAAGAACACCTTAAGAGAGCGAAAGAAGGTTATTCAGCGAACGTTAGGAATCATGAATTGTACCGATGGCTTAGATCTCACGACACTTCTAACTACGTTGCTATTCCATTAGCTGTTTCCACCACGTCGGATCTTTTCACTTTGGAATCTTTCTTTATTCGAAGTTTCTCACCGTTTCTTAACTCTAAAGCTCCTAGACATAGGAAGCATCGGGATTGCCGACCGGGTAAACGGGAGCGTCAGAAGCAGAAAATTCGTACAGGTTCTGCCTCTTGTGTGTCGCATCACGTTTCTACGAATCTCCAGTTTTCTTTTGCTCCTCGTTAGGTTTTTCCTCCATCAGTCTCATTGCAGTTCTAGATAATGGGTTTAAGTTGAAGCAGTCGAGCTTTGCTGTTTTCTGCCAAGGGGGTCGGGAATTCTGTGATAAATGGAAAGTTGTAAAAAGATTGTATGGTTCCTCGGTTGTCAGGTCGACTGTAGGCCTGGATCTCTTGAAGAATTGCCGAGAATGGTTCGTTGAGTCGAATGAAGTTTGGTTAGAGAAATTGTCTCGGTTTTGTTCACGATTCACGGAGGTGAGAATCACCCTTACGAAACTGATATCTACACGAGGAAAGAGTTGTATGGTTCGACACTCGATCGGCTAGTTAGATTGTATTCGTGCATTAGGAGTTTTTCGAATAAATCGACTAGATCGTCGCTTCGGAGTATTATTGGAAGGGTGATTAAAAATAAGTTCGATATTAAGATCCGGATCAGACCTGTCGTTCGAATTGCTTATGACTGTGAGATTTCAAAAGGTTGTGTTCGTAGGTTACTTGTGCAGACAGTAAAAAGGTCGTCTATCCGGAAACCAATTCAGGACATTATTTGTCAGAAGGCCAGAGTCGTGTGGACCAAGAATAAGTCAATAGGGGATATTTTGTTCAGTTTCAGACCATTCTCAAGGCTATCTCAACTTGCCTGTGTATGTGCGGATTCGAACTTCTCGAGAATCGGGGAACATGTTGCATTTCGGCTGAGTGTATTTGATGGCATTCCTTCGTTTATGCGTAATTCTAAAAATATTCCCAGCCCTGGGCTGAAATGTGATCTGCATAAAGTCAAGAAGTCTATTGTTTGCTGTTTAGAGGAATTACAGTCCGACACTAAGTTGTTTTCTATTTCTGATGCCGATCTCAAAAAATGCATTGTTGCTAGATCAGATGTAGAGAAACTTGAGTTTGATCGACGGTAGGTGTTGGTGTGGAAAGAGAAGTTTAGCAAGTATGTGGTTTGTCCTATTGATCATAATTTAGGCGATACGTTGGTATGTTGCCCTTCGTTTTATGAAGTAGAAATGCGGAAGCTTTTTCTGGATAATAAGGGGTTTGAAGTTCAAAATGAGAAGGAGGATGTCGTCATAGATAGGATGGCACAACGTTTCGATAAAGAGAAGTTCAAGACTATAACGAAATTCGACGACAAAGGTACTCCTGGAAAGGTGTATTGTTTACCGAAACACAAGGATATCTGTCGCTGGCGACCCATTTGTCCCTCGAACTCCGATCCCACTACTAAGGCGTGTCGGGTTGTTTCCAAAGTAGTTAATTGTATTCTTTGGTCGCTTCCATCATCATCTCATTTTAATCTTAGGGCTACGAAAGATCTTAAGTCAATGCTCGAGGAGATTAATAAGGCTATTAGTAACGGTGGAGAGGTTATTGCGGTTAGTTTTTATGTTAAAGAGATTTTCTCTGCTCTTTTACACTCTTTTATAGTTAAGGCGGTCGAATGGGCAGTTGGGATGCATGAAGAGAAAGGGTTTTCAGACGGTCTTTATAAAAGAAGAGGGAAAGGTGTTGTTCTGTCAAAAAGAAAGACGGTTCCAGAAGGATGGGGATGATTAAAGTTTAGCAAACTGCTTAGTTTCGTAGCGTTTGACTTGTCTTGTACGTATGTGTCTGCAATGGGAGTAATTTTAAAACAGAAGATTGGCATCCCCATGGGTAAGTCGTCCAGTCCTGCTCTAGTATGTTTACTCTCTGCTTTCAATGAGTATGAATTCCTCTGTAGTCTGGGTGCTTCTAGAAAGTTGTTTCATGGCGTCCGGTTGGTTGATGATGTTTCCGTATTTACCTGTTTCGATCATTCCAGGATGGTTGCCGAGGACAACATTGAAAAATTTAGCGCTTCGTATGATGACCAGTTGGTTTTGGAAAGAACCAGTGAGGGTAGCGAATGGGATTATCCGGATTGTGTGTTAAAGGTTTTCCAGAATCCAGCGAAGATCCTGTGTGCTGCAACGCACAAGAACGAAAGAACAATTCTGGGACAAGGGATTGTGTTTCAGAATCTGCAAGATTATATGTCGTATTCGCCAAGACAGCAGAAGATGGCGGTTTTGGGTGCCTTTCTACACAGAGTTAAAGATTTGAACAATATGCTTGATGCGGATTTGTGTTTTTTATTCACATTGAAGATTGAGTTAGGACTGAGAGGTTTTCCCGATGAAGTCTTTGACCAGGTAGTTAGTACATTGTTCAAGCGGTACAACAATAGCTGGCAACGATGGGTTCACTGTCTTACTGGGTGGTCCAGAAGTTACGAGGTACGGATATTAACTCTTTAGTATATTACGGTCACTTTGTTTTTCTGACAGGATGAATTGGGTATGTGTACTACGGACACTTCGTTTTTCTGACAGACCGAGTTGGGTCTGCGTTTTATTTCAGGGTTGTTTTAAGATTGGACCGCGTGACGGCGGGTCCCGGTAGTTCCGCAACACTTCGTAGGTACCTAAGATAGTGTGGTAGCTTATCGTATATATTCTAAGTGCTCTATTCTACTTCTCATTCCAGCCAGGTTTTGACCCCTTAAGACACCAGACTGGCGACTGGTAGAAACCGGTCGGGTCCTATTGCCAGAATGCGTGCGCTATTTTGACGAAATTTTCAAAGCGCCACCTTCGCTCGGAGTTGTGTCTGTTTCTTGTCTCTTTGTCTACATCTTTCATGTCGTGTGTGTCTTTACTATGTCTTGACTCTACGGTGTGTTGCAGTGCGACTTAGCACTTGATTCTCGTAACTACGGGGCTGAGATGCCCTCACTGAGGCACTGAGGGCACTTACACTTCCGATAATGTATACAGTTACAATCACGCCCAGAGCTTTGTTTCTTTTTTTTGTTTTGTGAGTTTTCACGGCCGCAACTTTTTTTTTTTTTTTTTTTTTTTTTTGTTCTTCCCGTGAGAGTACCATAAAGAAATGGAGTGGGACCCAAGCTCGGCAAAACTCAAAGCGCAGTGAAAATCAGGGTCGGCAAAAACAGGCTCGGAGGTACTGGTGGTTTAAATAAAAGAAAAACAAAAAGTCAAAAAAGAGACATAACAAACTAGTAAGTGGGCAAGCAGGTTTTGACACCACCATCTTTGCCGATTTTTTATTATTTTTTGGAACATATTTTTTAAATTGAGAAAAATATATCTTACATTACAAAGAACTCACAAAAACAAATTAAAAAAAAAACTAGGCTAACAGCCAGGCCGTCCGGGTCCCCGGTGGCCAGCCCGTGCAGGGACCAACGAAGGCCCCAGCAAAAAAAAAAAAAAAAACAAATCCAAAAAATCCTAAAACGAACTATGTTATGCAGATTAATAAACTGAACAACGTTTGCCTTAGGGTCACATCGAAATTCTTCACCACATTTAAAATAAAATTTAAAATTTAAAATATTTATTTAATTTTTATTATTTTTATTTTTTTTGGCTTGGCCGGGCAAGTGACCCCGGACCACTCTGGTAGCCTAGGGAAAAACTAATAATATTTAGGTGCAAAAACATTTTTTTGTAGGGTCTGAACCCCTTCGAGTTTGGGTCCCGTACGGGGACCTGAATGCATGAACGTTCGCTAGTCAACTTATGGGTCTCCATACCTATGTAGCACCGTGTTCGCGTTCGAAGGCGAATGCGAACATGTTCGCCCGAACGCGAACAAGCGCCCAAAAACCTCCGAACGCGAACATAAAAAATATTAAAAAAATAAAATAAAATAAATTTCGAAAAAAATCTGAAAAAATATATGTTATGTAACATAACAATACAAACAACTTTTGTCTGGGAGTCATGTTCAAATGCATATCCAATTATGAGTTAAAAATCAAAAACCGACTTGGGACCCCCTGGGGATGCTTTCGGCCATTCAGGCCGAACGCGAACCAAAAAAAAAAAAAAAAAAAAAAAAAAAAAGTTATCAAAAAAATCTTAAAAAAAGATATGTTATGGCAAAAAATAAATTAAACAATATTTGCTCGAACATTAAATCCGAATTCCTTATAAAATTTGAACTAAAAATAGAATATCGAAAA